CTCTCTGAATCTCTTTTTAATTGATAAGCAGCTCTTCYTTCCTTTTTAATTTTCTCCTGTTTTTACATAGTTATACATATCACAACACTTKCCCCTACCTACAGGTTCTATTCTCTGAATGCTCACTGTCCTTCAGCTATTTATTATGAGCATTTAACATCATTATGAGTGTTTTCTTTGCCAGCATGTTTTGTAACAACATGCCAACAATAATGCAAGGCTTAGATTACCCTGTAATGCTCAAGTTTGTTAGCTGGAGGCATTGGCTTCACTCACTAAACATCTCAAGAATTTGGCACAGCTAACACAAAGTATCCAAGGAAAGTCCCGTAGGAGTGCCTTGATAAAGAAAATTGAACACAGCTAAGAGTCATGCAGAAGGACAAGAGRCAATGTTGGAATTGCAAAACAGAGTATGAAATTATAATTTTATCCTACCTCGTTTATAAATAAATATAGGTACAAATTAGGTTTCAGAGGCAATAACAAATGAAAAATGGAGGTACTGATGCTTTCTTCTAGCCAGTATTGTCTGCTCTCTGATTGAGCAGTGAACAAAAATTCAATGCAATAATTATGCAAATAGAGAAGCCCAGCAGTCAAAAGAGGCAGAGAGGAAAACATAACTGCAGTGCCTACCTGGGATTTCAGCCTCTAGTGTGCTCACAAAATCCCCCCACAGCCAAAGGACACCTGCAGTGCTTTGGGGTTTTTTAACAAATTCTTCTGCTAACATACCTTGTAAAAAACACACGCCATTGGGCTTCAGGGAGAGAATGTGCTGTGCAGTGGGCAGTRAAGTCAGTTCAAGGATACTTTTTATTCATATGGTACTCGGAAACAATTTCACTGTGACTGAACATCTGGCCAAAAATCCAAATTAAACTTTGCTAAAGAGACAAGCAAATATAGGTTTGCAATGAAAGAAAAGGAAAAATGTGGCTCATCAATCCTTTATGGGAGAATGTGAATGCTTTAATAGGGCTTAATCAATATTTACTGCCCCTCAGCAGCACTTTACAGTTGTGYAATAACAGCGGTGTTAACAGGTCAAATGAGAATAAGGGCATTTAGTTGGACAAAACTGCAGAATCAGGCCCTTAAGTTTAGGCAGTCAAACACATCCTAAAAAAAATAACTTCACTTACAGTAATCAAATCGCAGTGACTCCAGAACAGAAAACAGACCAGAAATAAAACCACAGCTTTTTAGGAGAAACTGCTAAGAAATGCCTGCACAGATATCTGATGGACACATCGTTGCAGAGTGGAATTTTTACTCAAGGAGATCATCGGCTCTTTCAATGAATACCCTCCCACACTTCTCAAGATCTTCTCCTCAAATATGTCAAAGCAATGCCTGGAATAGTTCTTCAGTAGAGAGGCTGGACTCTCAATCAGGAACAACCTCATTAATTTTGTGACACAGTATGCTGGGGTTTTCCTTTTSCCTTTTCACTCCTACTACGTATTTTGCACCATGCTAAATGATTTCAGATACACTATGTCCCTGTAATACATTTTAATATCTTTAGAACCTTACCTAGACTGAACTCATCAACTGCATAAATGGTAAACAAGGGCAAAAACCAACTAATGGGAATTAATTTCTGAAGAGAAATCTTTCTTAAAAAAACATAGACAGAAAAAAATCTGATTTTGAACTTATGAATGCATCATAACTAACCTGATGAAAAAAAAGAATATCTTCATCAAAAAACAAGTTTGTAGAGTGCTTACCAAACTAATACTTAAAGGGAAATAGTTTGGAAGGAAAAATGTTATGCAGCAAAATGGAGTCTGTAAGAACATTTCTGAAATAATCTAAAACAATTTAACAACAATTATACCACTATATACCAGTCAAACGCCATGTGGGGATATATACTAGGTCTAGCTAGACTAACTAGATTTAACTATAAATCCTGAAGTGCTTCGGTGTTTTCTCTCCAGATGAGGCAACACTGACAACACCRATGGCCCAAACCAGGGGATACCCAAAGGCATGGAACACAGCAAGTTCTAAACTGTGTCTTTTCCATTTACAGAAAGTCAATGAGATTAACACAAAAAATCCTACCTGAAGAATAAGAGAGAAATGCAGACTTCTGAAGTCAAATTAAATGATCAAGACAGGAAACTTTATAAAGCTTTTTCTCCACTTGAAGCAGAAACCCAGCTGAGTATATTATATGTGCAAGAAATAAGGGCATGAGCAAAATTTTGACAAGTAGGTTGATGGAATAAGATTGGATTTCCACAAAGCATTCAGAACAGATGAATTTTTGGATGAGCTTGCAGAACAGCCTGATCTTTAAAAGCCTTGTCAGGATGCCAAACCGGGATGATCACCCACTGAAAAACAACATTCCAGGATATGGTACTAAAGACACAGAGAACAAAATCGTTCCAAAAAGATTTTCATTAATTTAGCCAGAACAAAGTTAATAATCCATGACGTAAATGTTTCTTTCTTCACTAGCTTGTTAAAAATGTTAAATTCCCCCCTAGAAAAATACTACAGCAGCTAGAGGTTGACAGAGATTAGTTTATTCTTCTTCAAAGTCATTAAATAAATAATTAACGAACAATAGCTGGTAAGTTACCTTGACAACGAACAATTATTAATATGAGACTGCCCAGGGGAGAACGAGGCAGGGATTTCCAAACTGTGSTGTTAATCAAAGAAATTCAAAGCAACACAAAGGCTTGATGCTGGCAGGAGGTCACTGCCTCTGGTGGATTCAYGCAGCCTGACATGGAGCTCGGAGCTCCTGCAACCTCTGGCAACAGGGGTAATTCAGTGATGTACTTCTCTACAGCAAAAGGTCACAGCTGTTTTTTTAAGCAAGAAAAAGTAAATGGAAAATTGGAAGTACCTGAATTACAGGGCCATTAATAACGTGTCAGTCACACTCAAAAATTAATATGAGCTGTAGGTCCACAAGGTGTTACATAAGATATTTTGGCAAAACCTCTGAAAAATAAACGCAGCTATGGAAYGCCTCAGGTATAACTGCACATGATAAAAGCATCCTGTATTCAATCTGTAAACACTTAAAAATGCACTGGGGACAGCTAATTTGGAAACCCTTRCATGTCCCCTTCATCTTTCATGCCAATGCAACTGGACATGGAAATTATGGAATCAGATGCCAGAAGGGGAACATTTTACCTCTCCACTTCTTTCTTTCTCTTTCTTGTTTTTAAGTTCATAGAGAAGGAACTAATGGGCAAAGCATAACATTACCATACCATTCTCTTGAACAGAGTTTTTAAGGTGCTATAGTACTTCTGGAAGATAGAAACTTTCAAAACCCACATTTGTGAATCAGCCGGAGAGGGTCCTTATCAAAGGGTCCTTATCAATGAAATTTTGTAACAGGWCACGAGGTTGTTGGTGCTAGCAAACCAGGTACAGTTTGCACAAATTAGAACTTGCTCAGAGGCCTATCAGAGCCCTTCAGATGAGTCTCGGAMTTAGACTACACAGAAAGCAGCTTAGGCAGCAATACTCAAAATCCTGCTGTAATGGAAGATTATTCCCCAGTGAGTGATTTGTTGGTGCAGCATAGATAATTTTTCCATCGTACTGGAAATTGCTTTGATCCTCTGAAATGAGCAGCCTTTGTTCTCATTACAGAATACCTCAGAGTTACTGACAAAGATCAAAAGTGTCTTTTCTTTCTGAGCCAAGACAGGCATAGACCTTCCTCTGTGCAGAAAGAATAAAGCCATGCTCAGAATGACAGGRGGTGTGATTGGCATTTCCCAAACTTTGCCATGGCTAGGACAGAACATGAGCCAGCAGAGCTTCTCTTCAAGGAGGATCTGTTCATACCTGTCCCTTGAAGGATTTCAGTCTCTGCAGTTACAATTTTAAAGCAAAGTGTAAATAAGAAAAATGAACACCTCTATCCCTTGGGAAATCTTAACTTTCTTTCCTGACAATCTCCCTGCCTCTGCTGGTTTTCTACAAGCCTCTCACCTTGTTCTCCAGAAACTCTTCCAAGACAGGACAAGAGTTCCCTCTTGCAGGARCTCCTGACCAGGCTGCAACAGCCCAGAGTGCTGCCAGCCCCCTCCCTACAGCCTCACCAAGCCCCTTCTCGGACTCTCCACCACACACAAACACACTGGACAACTCACAGGCTCAACCACTGYGTCCTCACTCAACCCATCTCAGTTTAAGACTAAACTTACAATTAAAAGGTTTGAAGCAAGTTTATATTCTAAGCCCCACTAAAGTTCATAGTATATACAACACCTTTCAGCAATGATACAAATGAGATTTTTAACTCAAGTAAACCRAAACACGAATCCCACTGAAAGTCCAAAGCCTGTCTTTCTAAATTATTGCATTATCACTGAAATAGCACCTGAAATTATATTTAAATTACTGAAAGAAAAATTCTGGTATCTGGGATAAATTGCCCAGAAGTGTCAAGATGTTGCTAACACCAGAATCAAATGTGTAACGAAGATCCAAAACTTGAACTAGCCGTGCGTATTTCTCACGCTCAGACAATTATCAGCTGCTGAAGACTTYTAAAAGTACTGAAAAGGGACAGACTGAACACATCAGCTTGATTCAGTCYATTACCTAAATATGAAATGCTCCAGAGCCCAATACCTATCGAGTTCTGATTAACTCTTTCACAACAGATGTCTAATAAGCACAAATGCAATAAGCAAGCAGTAATACCACAAGACTATGGTGGCACAGTACTTTTCAAATAGAATGAAAGAGAATGAAATATGCAAAATCATCTCTGTGTTAACGAAACCACTTGCTGATACTTCACGGACATAACGTCACACCTAAAGCACTTAGTCCTGCGAAATAAAATAAATAATAAACTCAAGAAAAGCTGACCAAAGGTTACATCCTCAGATTTATCAGTACTCATTTGATTCCTCCTCTGAGTTAATACAGCCAAAGAAAACGATCTGTGGCAAATTCCTGAAGAGGACTTTCCAGTGCTGTGCACAGCTACTGACCTGCAGCATCTGAAGATAGCCTTCTTGTGGATCACAAAGCAGGGATGATATCCGGTGGTTGTTCCTCATGCACCTCTGGTTGTCCCGTGCSAGAGGGAAAATTTGCCGGATAACTGTCATCCTCCCCAGAGCACTATGCACCAGCTCCAATATTTCATTGTCAGTGATTTCCTGTGAATGGAGACACAGTCATTGAAAAACATGTATTTGTCCAGACATTTTATATATTTTTTTTCATCACGGGTTAAATGATTTTAAAATACAACAGGAGAGAAATGTTACAGATATACAAGCTTAATCTAGCCCAAATGTTTTTATTTCATGTTTAATAACAACAAAGCTATTTTTTATACACCATCAGAAACAAAAGAACACAGCCTAACACAGTACCATCTATTTTAGTAACATTACGATTTTGAAGATGCAGTTCCTCGAAGAAAAGCACCAAAATGGTCTCRATAGATTTATAAAGGAAAAAAATAAAGAGCCTTGGAACAAAATTTATATAGAAAGAATTTTTGTTTGACAGACTAGACCTTCACTATATCCTCAGGACAAAATAACAATTGAAAAACATAAGAGTCTTCAGGAAATATGGCTCTTTCACCTGTGAACAACATAATAAGAAAGCACTTTTCCCATAAGAACAGTAGATCATTTCTGCAGACTAATCCTGATAATGACTCAAGGAAGGCTTTTGAGGTTGTCAGTATTAGGAAATAAAAAATAGGAGAAACTTTATGGAGAGATTTGACACATTTAGGAACATCAGTTTCTGCACACAGAATAATCTGGGATATGATATAAGGAGACCTCAAGGACAAGCTGCTCTTCTTCCCAGGCTTCACACTTTGTAAAGCTTCTTGTCAAACCTTCACATGCCCCAACCTCCTAATCCATCCTGGGACAGAGCCTGCATTTCCTGCTCTTGTAGGGAGACTGAAGCCTGATCAAATGCACACTTGACACATTTTGCATTTAAAGAAATACACAAAACCAAACCCTCCTTTTTTACCCCCGTTTGAAAAGCCCAGGCTCRGCTGATCCTGCAATCATAACCAAGGTGCAGCTTGTGATGTTTTCTTGCTGGCAGGAGTTGACTGTGAGGAAAGGCAGGCAGTGGCTGCACTCAGCCCCAGGCAGGCTGCACATGGCAGCCCCTCAGCAGAGGCACAGCAGCATGTGCAGGTGCCACCAGCCCGTCCCCAGCACAGCCTGCACAGGACTCTCACAGCCCCTCCTGTGCCCGGGGGCTGCAATAGCTTGGCCAACAGGGCCCACACCTTGGCATGTGGCATCAGCAGAACTGAACCTGGCCCTGGACATATAACATTCAAGAAAAAAAGATAATTTGTTTTCTTGCCATTTTCACTGTCAAGCTGCGAGTGCAATGACCATGGGGTTATAATAATTACTTGTTACGGCTGACTAATACTGTACCTTGGCTCAATTTAGTGCTCCTTTGCCAATTTCCCATCTTTTTTCAGGAACATGAATTTTTAACTTTGCAGAAGGTGAAATTCATTGCATTAATGACAGACCAACTGGGGTGGCATGAAAACAGTAAATCAGAAAACAAGTATGTTCTTATAGAAGACAAAAATTTTGAGGCTTAACAGAAAATGCCGGGCAGCATTTTCTAGCCTTGCAAGGAGACAGAGGAGCAGACCCACAGGCTCTGCAGACCCCTGCAAGCTTCCCCTCTGTGCAGCTGAGGGGCGTTAAAACCACACGCTGTGTCTAAGCTCAGGTCTGACTGAGAAGGAGCCAATTTTATGGCACAGCTTTAACTCATAACCTGCCAGGCTGCATCCCTTGGTAGGCACACTCAGAGCAAACAGCTGAAAACAGAAAAAAAGGAATCACAAATCATCCAAACCTTCAGTTCTGCTCACACCACATTTTGTGTCCCCTCTAAGTGATACACAGCCTTTCAGAGATGTCTCAGAAACACAGATATTGGTGATTTGTGGAATTGGTTTATCTGTTTATTTATCTGCACACACAGAACTTCTGTTAGTTTGCAATACCGCATCAATTGCTCAGGGGAATACTTAAATCCACTTTRGTTGTGCTCAACTATCATAACACAAATCGCAAAATGAGACAATTATGCTTCACATTACAATCTCTATTTTCCTAGAGGTAATGACAGAAAATTATAAATTTTAATGACATTAATAATTTAAAGAACTGAAACATATTTCCAGAAAACACATCCCCAAGAAAACTGGAGGATAAAATGGAACAGCAATGAGAACAAGGATGRAGACAAGCTAGAKATTTATTTGGATTTTTTTTTCAGTRGTATCAATACTGTTGAGTTATTTTWAWCCCTCAATGCACAGTTTACATCTATAAATGAACACATGTTGAAAATCCAGAAAATACCATTCAAATAGCTGWTCTTCTAGAAGGTTCACCACAGCCTACCTTCTAGTTAGATTTGTTCAATATTTACACTATGCTGGCTTCTCTGCAACCCACATGAACAGACACACACACACACACACATACATAAATAAAAAGATGAATCCTTTACAGAAAGGACACCATCCACTTTTCTTACCACAGAAAACATCCTAACTCAAGTGTGCACAATCACCTGTCCAACTCTAATCCTCACTGTCCTCCCACACATTCAGTAGCACCCAGTGCTCCTGAAAATCTCTACAGAGATATATTCATAATTTAATGTWATTAGCTCTATTTCTAGATATATGAACTCTGCACTGGGTGTCCAGATAAGTTTCTCAGATCACAGTGAGTGCCTGTACAGGAAAAGATCCTCTGACTTAACAGAACATTTTTCCATACTAAAAAGTTATTCTCATGGGCAAAAAAAAAAAAAAAAAAGCACACAAAATAATAGTTACTAAAAGCTGGACAACACAAACAAAAAACCCTATCACTGATTTCAGTGTGGAATTCATTGATAAAACAACTCATCAAAGCTCATCTATGACTTTGCTTCTAGCTGACTGAGACTCTTAACAATTCCCCAGCATTACAATTAGGTCAAATCTAAACCCTACAAAGTTCTTTGGGCAGGATGCAGGTTCATATGCAACACAGTCTCATGTCTATGTATAACTTCCAAGTATTTATAAGGAAAGTAAATCCCCAGATTTTTTGTGAAAATAAATAAATAAATAAAAATGCTGCAGTGTTAAAGATAGTGGCCAAAAGGAGYGAAGTGAGATTTCCTTAGGCAAGTAATAAATATAGAGTACCTGGGATACAATTAGAATAAATTGTAATTGCAAATTACTAYATTTTGCATTGAAATGTGTCATTTCCTAAATTTTTATAAAATTTCCACAGTGTGTTCCTTTTGTTTCTATTCAATTTTTACACTTTTTTTACAGTGTATTTTTGTATAATTTGAGAATATCTTAGAATGCTTGCCCCACTTGCATTCATAAATGATCATTAAAAGGTCTGTTTTTTTCCAAGAAAGAGTAAGACATGGGGAAGCATTAAAGATTTACRAACTTCTGGTTATCAAAATAAACACAACTACCATTACACAGATGGATGCTTGAAAATGAAACAAAGAAAATAATCTTAGGCRTTTCCGTATGAAGAGAAAAAGTGAGCTGAAGCCCAGTCTATCAGACAACCCCGGCTCCACCCAAGGAAAAATTAGGCCATAAAAATGTACACAGGRCCTAGCTGTTAATCACCCAAAATGCACACAACATAGACATTTCCAGAAAAATATTTCCAAAAAAAGTTTATAAAAACCAYTCTATTCATAAGGTTTTTTCCTTCCAAAGTGAGTTTTCCCAGTATTGCTCTACACCCATGCACCAGAAAAACTCTGCTCATCATTCATTATCTAACACTTCCTACATGCTGCCCTTGGGGAAAAAAGTACCTTGCAGAGATAGACTTTATCTGATAATTACTGTTCTATTTTCTGCTCATTTTCCTCAACTTTAAAAAAAAAWAAATTATCAGGTAAAATAATAAAGAAGTGCCCAGGTGACATCTGAGAAGCCATTTGATTCTCAAATTGAGAACAAACTAACAGTAACTACAAACACACTGGGCATGTCTGATGTAGTGAAAGGAAAGAAAACAAATGTTGGAAGAAGCAAGGGAGGTGCAGGATGGAAATGGAAAGCAAGAAAYATGTCACATCAGGGTGTTGATGGGACACTTTCTTGTCCCTCATATGGAAAACCACCTGCTATAGACAGTGAAGCAGTGGTGAAGAGAAACCTATGAAAACAGCAGGAAAAAGAACTGAGCTCAAGGCCAGAAAAGGATTAGCAAGAAAGATGCTTTGAGTGAATGTTCTGAGAGGAGAAAGGAAAAAAAAAAGCATCAGTTGCCATTTTTCTGCACTGTGCTCTGACTGATCACCAAGGTTGAGCTTGGGAAAGTTTCATCTGTCCACTGAAGATCTATAAATTAATCTGCTGGCAGCACCACCAGCATCATTTGGAAAGCATCATCTGTCCAAAAAGCAAGAATAAGGTCAACTGCTGTCTAAAATTTTTGACTGGTGTTCAAGTGATGAGGACAATGTCATCTCCACATGTCTCAGATTTCCCCAAGTCCCTTAGCACTCTAACTTCCTGTCTAAGGCTTCTTGCCACTGATGAAATGTGTGCTTTTGCTATATTTACAGATCTTTTTATTACTTTTCCTGCAAAAAAACTTCCAAGAACTTTTCTTCCTACTTCACTCTTCCCTTCTCCTTCTCAGCTAAGAGGGCTTTTCTGACAAGTATCATCATAGCTGGGAAGAATTTCACCAAATACATTACAGCTGCATTTGCTTTAGTAATTTCTCTGTGCGTACTGACTMCAACCTTTTCAAATCAGGATCTTTACTCTGTATTAAARAGAGAAAATATTCAAAAGCAAMCATTWATGGGTGTTAATCAGTTTAGTTTTRTTTTTCAATTAAAGCTKACAAGAATTTYAGTTGTCTTCTCATTACTGAATAGTTTGCTTTCCTATGGACTTGGAATTCATATAAAATACTCTCTTTCTACAGCTCTTGGTTTCAGATTTCTTATTGAAAAGAGATTTCCACCAATAACAAACTGGTCCCTGATTTTTTTTTTTAAGTGTGTTATTGTTTAGCACTGTAAAAGCTATTGATAATTGTTWAAAAACCCCAGTTATTAAGCTCAGGTTAGTACATGAGGATCAGCTGGTTTACCACATTCTATCTATTAAGCATCTCTGAATTTGCGAGAGACATTAAAAACAAAAAAAAATTACCTTTCTGCTATCCACCCCACCATGTTGCAGCACAAGCTGTTTGATTTTTGTTTGCTTTTAAATAGGACAAATAAAGGCACAAGTTTTTCTAAGAGATAAAGAAATGAGCCCATTTTCAACCTTAGATTCTAGTTMCTCTGAAAAGATGAAATTCTATGTTGAAATGCAGGAACACAGAAATTCAGTGTGCAGTCCCTATGAACACCTCCTCACTTCTTAAACCGTTGTGTCATGAGAAATACCCACAGGRGTAGGCACTTAACCTATGAGGAAGACTTCTTTACCCCATAGGACTTTGCTTTCTAGTGAGTACCTGATCTTTTAGACAGTCAAAAATGAATGTAATGAAATTTCTACTAGTGCTCCTCACTATTTCCATAGTTGCAGTTTGAGAATTTAAAGCAAATATTGAATTTTAGCATTTGTTAGTCCTTATGGTACAGAATGTGGYGATTCTAAAACTCAAAAAGAAGTTATTTTGTGCTAATAACAAATGCTCCTTTGTATCTGCTCTGTTGTTGATTGATCTGAATCAATGAGAATCAATGTAATGCAAAAGCACTAAATAAAAACTGTAGTCAAAAAGGAAGGAGCTGTAATCTTTAGCTTTCAGACATTTTTTATACCTTACAATTAAATCTATTTTTAAAACACAAAATGGAATGTAATCCATTACCAGGCACTCTTCTATCAAAACCACACGCAGTTACAACATAATCCTCCATTACAAATGACTGATATCAAGAAATGCCATGCTCAGCTCATCCCTGGCTARGTCAAACCACTGAGGGGGCCCTGAGGGTGGATTGGGCTGACAGGATCTAATCAAACCCAGCCATTCCAGCTTCTTCAGTAGCAGACACAGAAGGAGGAGTTCTGTGATGACTGGAAATCAACCATGAGTCAACTCAAATCCCACACATTCATGTTTACCACCAAAAGTAAAGGGCTCTGTAAGAAGTATAGGCAGTGAATCTGCATATGAAACTATGAAATGTCCCAGAAAAATACCGTTTCTAATTCTRTTTATACCCTTGGACCTACTGCTGCTGCTAATAAAGAAGCAGCCACAGGCTCCTGGAGCACTGCTCCTTGTACAACCACATCCAAATTCAGTTTCAAGTGTTGCTCTTGTACCTCTCCCACAGACACATGCCCTGGGCAAGGCACGGCATTTTCTCAGAAAAGGCAGAGAAAGAGAAGGGGAGAATGAAAAATGTCATGAGGAGCCAACAGAGATGCCTGATGCCAGGTATCAAAGGGAAAGAAAAATAGGAGAAAAATAAAAATAATAAAGAAAACTAGGGAAAAAAAATCAGGAAATAATTATAAAAATATCCCAGGGGCCGTCTGCAACTGTGCCAGTCATGCCAAAAGAAGCAGCAGCACAGACCTTTCAAAGCTGGTGGGTCACTTTCACCGTTAAAGGTACAAAGAGCAAAGGTTCAAGCAGAACACCAGATATGTTCTAACAGATGTCCCATAGAGCCAAAATGACAAGTCACTGACAGCTCCTAACACGGTCAAAGACAGCTTTGGAGGCACAGCTAAGCTTGTAGTATTCATTGTTTGGGAGAGCTGTTTGCTCATGCATTTATACAGAAATCACAAGTATCCTTGCTTTTAAAAAGCTACTTCACATGTTTAAGCCAGAAGTGAGGTAGAATTRCTACCTAAATGAAAGCAAGGGATGATTTATTATTTTTAGATGAATAAAAATAAAAGTGCAGATGATGAAAAATAAATCAGGGGTGGGTGGTTAGAAATGCATTTTTTCCCCCCTCTAATCTCCATTACTTTTGACAGCTCTGCAATTTTGACACATAACATGTTTGAAACCAGAAAAGTGGACACACAAATATATATTTTCAAAGCAGTAAGGTTTTTATGCCTTTGGCTCCAAAGAGGATATATGAGGGTATGATACTGCCTGAAAAGACCAATCCCCGTGTATTCTCTTATCTTAGAAAACCTGACAGATAATGTTTCAGCCTTCCAAACCCACAAAATAAATTCAGCTCCCAATTCACCAGCCTTTTTCTAGAGATGACCAGATCCTTTCTGACCAGCAATGGATCCAAACTGAACAGCTACCTCAGCACAGACCTGGGTTACTAGCAAGCAGGATTTGGTCAGTATAGCTGTGTAATTCAAGATCAGCTCATATTCCAGACTTGTTCATTGGCTGTGTAATAAGTTTATCAGCCATACAGATTTAAGTTAGCTCAACCAAAGCTTGGTGGTCTTGCTCACCAAAGAAAAGTGATAAAGTATGTTCTATCCCTAAAACTTAACTCCAATTCTACCAAATGGGAAGGTGCACAAAGGAAAAAAAACCCAAACACAAATGTTTATTGGATTGTCAGTACAGAGAGAGCAAAGATTTAATTAAAGTAGGAAGATAATAAAATCTCTTATTGAAATAATGCCATGCTATGTAGTCATTCTTACTATAGCAAGGTGAATCCAAGTGTCAGATCCTCGTTGTCTTGACGAGAAGTGGGAGACAGATCCGGCACACTGGGAGAAGGTGCTTTGGGCTGGTCAATCTCAGCAGGCCAAGCTCTGCAAGGCCCTTAAATGGTTCCCTGGAGTGCAAAAGGCCTGAAAAGCCTGTGCTCTTCATGCAAGGAACCTCAAYGGAAAAAATTGTCCCTGTGTTCTCTTTCTGCTACTGCCCCTTCAACCAGTCAGAYCTACACCTCTCTTTCCTTGTAATGGGATCATTAGGGCACACAGGACGAACAGGCAGGAGTAGGGTCCTTAATCTGCCTGGACAAAAAATAGGTTTTGGTGCATTTGCATAATGGACCTCTATTCTTGGGGAAATACATCAAAAAGAGCTGATTTGACTGCTGGGAATTAAAAGTTAATTCCACTCTGCAAATCACAGCGAGAACCAGCATCATCTTTTCCATCAAACATTCATGCAGTTCCCACTACTGCCAACTGGAAACATTACATGGAAAGCAGGATCAGTCTGTCCTCTTGCTAGCATGGGGGAAAGCACACTTAAGCAAGAAGCAGATTCCCTTTGCAACCTTCATCTTTCTATAGGTGCATCCATGGGGATGCCCAATTCTTTTCACAGTGGCTTTAAGCACACACATGAAGACCAACACTCTCCTGTGAAAGAATACTTCCAGGATACTTCCTCTTCCTTTTGCCTGCAAACAATTCTCCAAAGTCTCATGAGTCTAAAAAGTTTCTGTAACTGTCTATTTGAATTTAATAGCATTTTAAGATTTCTGTAAATTATGTGAGCTAAAATTTTTCGCTAGAAAGTTATACTCCAAATTTACATGCTGCCTTCACAGCTTCCCTACCCAATCTTTAGCCAAATAGGAGAAAAAAAAAAAGGTTCCAACAGAGAAGCAGAACTGACACCCTGTGTGGTGTGTTTGTGTGTGCACGTGCATGCACATGTTAGTGCACGAGTGCTGAAGGCATTTATCACCATGTTACAGATTCAGCCTTCATGAAGTGAGTTTCAACATCTGAACAATAACAGCAGCAATAAAAAATTCACACACACTCCYTCTCTATAAATGTTTAGGGAAATATGCACTGTATTATCTTTATGTGAATATAAACACTGACTCTCTGGGCATCTTGCTGATGTTTTGTAGTGGGTCATTACAGCAGCTGACAAACCAGGAGGCACTTAAATGTAACAAGGACTAGAAAGAATTTATGAAGCCTTTACAAGCAGGGATTTCACTCGCTTTCCCTAACCCCTATTTAATTACAGAGCCTGTCTAATGCCACACAATACAATTTATAGTTATTATTAAAAGTTGCCTATTCAAAATTATTAGCTAAGTGCAAAGAAAGGAGTGAGAAATTAACAGAGGAATTGGCCATTAAATTAGAGGCTATGCATTTATAATATAAAAATAAGAYAGTGAACACTGTTCTTTTAAAATTAAGTGTTTTGCTATCTTTTACAAATCRTTATTAAAACCAGTAGTATAAAATACTGCCATTTATAGGTGATTTATAAATTATGATATATGGTACAACATTTCATTGTTTTTTTAAATATGAATCTGAAGAGATTCCCATCAGGGCATCTGGGCACTAAGGTAAAATAAATAATCTTTGTAGCAGGACAGGATACCATTTGCTGCCGAGGGGAAACATCACAGTTTGATTTTAAGCTATTCTGGATCTTGGCCAGTACACCAACATTTCTCTAGTTCTGCACCAGAGAAAGCCTGTGTATCCCATAAATTGCAATATTTGAGTGGACTAAGCTCATGAGCAGACTCAGAGCTCTTTCCTGGCATCTGTGTGCAGGCTTTCACAGCAGTGGAGGGTGAGCTTCTGGCAGAGAAATGCCTGTATCTGAGATTTCTTTTGAGATATTCTCTGCTTCCTAAATAGCTAATGAAATGGTGTCAGCAGGAAAGTAAAAATAAAGTCTCCCAGCTGCTCTGAGGTGCGTTGGAAGCTTTATCTTGATCTCTGGTGTTCAACCTATGCCAATTCAACTAARACAGACAAGCAATGACACCACAGAGTTTAAACCTTGTGCCATTCATAAAGAAAAAATGCTCCATGTATGCTCAGTTTGGTGTGTCAAAACATGTGAAGCAAAAGATGGTGATGAGTGAATGTAGCAAGCTGTGTTTTCTCTTTTGACTTTCTTACCTCATTTACATAGACCCAGTGACTATCCTTTGATGCAAGGTTGGTTTCCACAGCCTACAAAAATAAAAAGAAACATAATAATAAAAATAAATAAAACATGGGAAATATAGTCCAGAAAGAACTTATACAAAAATGTACTATAAAGTTCATTTTAATTGTTTTCATTGCTACTGTCATTGTTTCAGAACAGTTCTTCTCATCTCTTCCTCTGCTGCTTCATGGAACAGTATCCAGTTGGTGGTAGACACCTTTCTCTGATTTCAGTTCCTAAACCAAAGGACCCTGACCATGTATGTGTACCCCAAAAGCATACTGGGTAGGGTGCATCAGCATGAGGGATCCTGTGATTAATAACTGCACACAAAACATGTAGTTCAGGAGGTCTAACTTCTCTGTGATGTATCTAATGCATCCTACTCAGCTGAGTTTCTTTTCTATATGCCTCCCAAAATGCATTGTCTCTGGCATATAATAGCTCTGATAGTTTATCTATTAACTAACCTATTTAATTAAAAACATGACAGTGACATGCTCAAGTGAAGTTCGTATGTTTATATGAGACATCTTCCTCTCTTTGTATTTACATAAGGCCCAAGACAAAGTTATGATTTACACGGACACTTTTTTTGTCTTCCTGGTATGAGCTTGGATAATCACTACATAGTATAAAATATTATAAATACATAATATAAATCACTTCATGATATTAAAAAATGCCCATCTCTGCAGTTTGCATATTTATCCATATACATATAACCCACTGGGGGAATACTGCACTGCTTTTACTGAGAGAGAGCCTCAGCAGAAGGATCTGGCAATATTCACAGAAGTTCCTAACTGTCCCCTTTGTTTGATATGGATAAGCTCCCTTAAAGACACTTAACAGTCTCATAAAGTGATAGCAAGCATGGAGAGGTGCACACTACRCTGCCTGTGATATTGTTAATATCCTGCTCAACACATGGTTAAACAATTACTGCTGCGTGTTCATCTCCCCTAATAAAACAGTCACACATGTATTTCAGGAGGCAGTTCATTACACGCTTTTGAATGTTGCTGCCTTCAGCCACTTCTTTCCTCTGTGCCAGTATGACCCCATTTATCCAACAGGTATTCTTATCTCTCTGTTATAAATGGCCCTATGAATCACTGAAAYGAACCACGTTAAAAAAACCCAAACATACAGATGAACAAAATACTTCCAGTTCCTGGTTTTTAACCTGGATAATTTCCACCYTCTATTTCAGAAATGACTGCACTGATACAGAGAGAGGCTCTGTAGACTGTAGCACTGGGCTGAGCAGGAACATCATCAACCACCTTTCTCTTCAGAACACATTTGCCTAATAAGCCTCTCGGATATTTAGTGTCAGATGGGATGAATCACCTTCTCCTGTGACACTGACTACAGATGACTGGCTTAGAATAAACGCCCACGACTTCTAAGGCTGCAGTGAAATGACAAGAGATCCATCCTTAATATAGTTTAAGGGATATCCAAACCCAGCAAAACTTTGCTGAGTAGCCAACATCAGCATTTTTAACATTAATCTTAGCTTATACTGTGTCTTTAAAAAAGGTATAAATTACTTGCCTAAGTAACTATGTTTTTAAATTTTGATTATTTGTGTAGCCCACACAAACACAGGAGAAAATTGTGGACAACACACAGAACTCCATCCACTTCTTATGTCCCCAAGCTGAAATACTCCTTTAAAGGGACAAAAATCCCAAGAGAAACTGCAAACTCGTCAAAAGAGGAAAATCATCACAGACAGGATACAGGAATTCTCTTCATCATTGTAAAGAGCATTATAGGAAAACAACRAAACCTGGTGTCAAAGCACATGAGAAACACTAGAGATAACACTTCTGACAAAATAATCCTCTCCTAAACATGCAGTGAAAAATTGCCCCCTTGATAATTGCCTCCCTTGCACTTCTTTTAAGCTGGGAGGAACATGTAGCTGACCACGTAACTGAGGAACAGCAGCTCTTAGGAAAGATAGCAGCAATGWGCACAAGGGCAAAAATATGTACATTTTCTCCCTATTCACCTCCCAAACATATCCAGGCAAAGGCAAAATAGTCAGGTGCTGTAAGGTACAGAGAAAAAGCAAAGTGCTGTGAGCATTAGCAAAGCAGAATTAAAGAATGCTCAGGTGCAGAGTTACTGCACTGGCTACATTTTGTGATTCATCTGCAATAGAGAGCAATTTGTATGAATAAATGCTCAGTCTGGGGAGACGCAAGAGCCAGGGAATTTGCAATGAATTATTGTACCTCATTCTTCTGGGTTCACATATCTGGGCCAAAGTTTTTTAAATGAGRTGCCTAAATTTAGGTTATCTTTAGTCATCAGAGTGCCAGACCATTCAGCACTCCTCCTACAGAGCCGATGGCTCTGCATCCTAATAGCTTGAAATGTATTTAGAAACATCACCAAAGGTAGTCAAGTTTAAATGGCTCTAAATATCTTCTCAGAACTGCAACACATGACATGAACCACTACTCAAAACTAAAATATGCTGGGAGGGAGTGGAAATATCTTGCATTTTGTGCCATATTTACAGACTTGCCATCCTAAAAGGTCTTAAAAAAAAACCTATTAAATACAGTTCTCAGGTTTCAACCTTCTGATAGCACGAATGTATTGCTGGAGGCTCATGAAAGTTAAGCAGTGTGAAAAGCAAGGTCCTGGAGACCTGTGTTATCACAAGGAAATTTACTGTGAATTCTCAAAGTAAGAAAGAAATTAATGTTTGTAATTTCACTTTAAAGAGGAAAAAGGCATCAGCACTTGGGAGATTATAGTTACACATTTTTAATTATTCAAGCTGTTCAGGACCTTGCCATTTGAGATTGTGCCCATCCATTCGAAAAGAAAAAAAAATTGTCTTCAAATATCCTTGAAGGACCTATTCCATCCTATTTGATAAATGTACCCTAAATAAAAAAAGTAGGCTATGAATCTGTGAGATCACTGTGGCTGAGTGATCACTGTGGCTCTGCCATCTATTGGGGAAGGATTCAGGGGTTAAAATATGTTATAGTTTTTTTATGGAAAAATTATTAATAGAGGTGCAAAATGTCCTAGTTCTTTTTATACTTTCTATGTAGATAGGGTCTAGGTGACACTTGGGAGCAATGCTTCACAATATTTCTATCAAATATAAAATCTGCTTTGGAGATAAACAGCATCCTAGAAATGAAAGAGTATCCATCTTTCATTTGTTTTATCTCAGAGTAGCAAACAACTTCTACAAATTTGGAAAAAAAGGGGATTTGAGATTGTGCCRTCCTTCCTCCCTAACTACCTTTGAAGAGCAAAATGTAAAGTGCAGAGCCCAAACAAGAGAGTTGTAATTCGCTCAGTGGACCACTATAACTGACAACATATAAATGATAYTACCAGAATTGGGCCAGAATTGGAATATGGGAAGGGAAGCAGTGAATGTCAAAAACTGTTTACAATTTCTCAGTAGAAAGCATATGCAACAGAAATGAAATAAGAAGACACTGAAAATCAGAATACGAGTATTAAAGATTTCAGATCTCATAGCAACACTGATARAAGAAAGAATAAGAAGCCTCTTGAAAAATAATCAAAGATAGTTTCACATATATAKTTTTGTTTACTTTTAAATGTATACYTTAAAATAATTTACTGCCAATAATCCATGACATTATTTTATCAGAATACAGAGCAAAACAAATATTTACATTGCCTTTATGAACAAGTAACTTGGTTCATTATTTTATCTAATGGCAATTGAAAGATTAAAAGGAGAAGTTAGGAAAGTAAGCAATAAATACTGCTATGTTCAGAAATAATTCTGCAGAGGAAAAAAAAAAAACAAAACAAAACAAAACTAGCAGAAACAATCCTTTCAAAAAGTCTGTAACTGCAAACCTCTCCAAGCATATAATGGCTGTGACTATAGGGAAGGCTCTTTTGCACAGTACCTGGCTGCTCTGCCAGCATCAGCACCTTGCTGTAAACAGCAAAAAGCTGCACAAAAAGGGATGCAGGGATGGACACAAGCGAGAGGAGATGCTGTGGGTGCTCAAACAGAGCTGGCAGGCTGTGTTCCAGCCACAGCTGGATGTGCTGAGAGTTTAGAATGACATGCATCAGTGTCACAGCTACAAACCTGTTGTGTCCTCACTGTGCACCCAGGGGAGCAGGCAGGGCAATGGCTGGGAGCCCTGGAACCAACCCTGGGATCCTAGAAGGAAATGTCTTGCAGAATGCAAACACAAACGTTCCTCTTGTGTCTCAATTTTTGGAAACAAGGGTTGCCACCCTGAATTCCATGATATAAAAGAACCACCTGTTTTGCTGGGAGGGATATCAAAGTAGCCAAAGTTATTACTTGCACATCCTTTACCTTAATGGTCAGGATAAAGAGCATCATAATTTTCCATAAAGAACAAACAAAACAAAAGGCAAACTGGGGAGTTCACAATTAGGAAATAATTTGGAAAGGTTGTCGTAAGGGACACTGGAAGAACTCAAAACCAAATCTCAGGCCAACTGCCACAATTTAACACGATTTAACCCCTTAATGCAGCAACTTGCTCACCA